TAGGGAAAATAGTGATCAAAGTGCAGGATGACCTAAACAGCCAAAAATATTTTACAAAATAAAAAGAAACCATTGTTTCTTAGATTACTTAGCTAGTTTGTGGACAGTATCTTCCCATGCACCAAGAACATAGCTTTTAGGATGGGTGCAGAGGATAGGAGAAGGGGTTGAATGAGTTATTTTTTCTTAATTGTGTTATTCCCTTACTTAAAATTCTGTGTGTGCCTGCAAGTGTGTGTGTGTGTGTGTGTGTGTGTGTGTGTGTGTATACAAGTAGTCTTCAAAAAATTCATGGAGGGGCCAGCAGATGGCATGGTTGTTGAGGTGCTAGACTCCCACATGGCTGACTGCAATTCAAGTCCTGGATCTGGAAGTTTGCTTTCTCACTTTCCTTCCTCTCCCTTCCTTCTCTCTCTCTCTCAATCTCTCTGGTCAAATTTAATAATAATGATGAATAAAATTAAATAAAATAATTCCTTTAAAAAATAAATTCATGGGGAACCAGCAGTTAGCGTAATGGCTATGTCACTGGACTCCCCACGTAGTCGCCTGCGGTTTGCGTCCCGGACCCGGTGGCTTAGAACTCACGCCGGGCGCGTGTGCGTGCGTGCCCAAGATTCCGAGAGGAGAATGGAGGAGAAGGGATTGCGGTGTGACCATCCCCTCTGGGGGGTGATTTTTTGCTTTCTGTCTCTATGTCTCTCTCTGTTTGTCTGGTGAGCGCATGTGCCCTATAGCAAAAACCTCTCCAAAAAAATAAAATAAAATAAATTCATGGAAAATGCATATCCTAAAGATATTGCATCAACTTCAAAATTCTTTTGCACCAAAATCTGTGCTTTCCTGTTCCAAACTTAAAAAGTAAATGAAAGATTTTGTGTGTGTGTGTGTGTGTGTGCATGTGTGTTTGCATGTATATGTATATAAATAGTTATATTCAATGTTCAGCATCACAAAATTTAAATTTATATATGAAATTTTACAATAAATTTTATAAAAGATACTTTTAAAAAGAAGAAAATAAGAGAAGTTATAAATATGGCTAAAGAGTTGATGTTACTCTGACGTCCTCAGAAACCTGGAATAGTGCTGGAAATAACTTAGTTATTCAATAATAAAAACTGATACTTTTATTAATTCCTGTTTGTGAGACATGACTAGGCTTTCAACATTACCTGCATATCCTCTACTCTGCTTCTTAATTTTTCTTTCTCTTGAAACATCTCTATCTCTACAATGGTTATTTTAAAACTTTTTATTTGTCTCCAGTGTTTAAATATACCATGTCCTCTCTCACTCCCCAGATAACTACACCTCCCCATTACTTTATGCCATTAAAAAAAAAATTATTGTTAGGAACCAGCAGTTAGCGTAATGGCTATGTCGTTGGACTCCTACATAGTTGACCGTGGTTCATGTCCCAGACCCGGTGGCTTAAAACTCACGCTGGGCACGTGTGCGTGCATGCCTAAGATCCTGAGAGGAGAATGGAGGAGAAGGGATTGAGGTGTGACCATCCCTCCTGGGGGGGTGATTTCTCGCTTTCTGTCTCTCTGTCTCTCTTTGTCTGTCTGGTGAGCGCACGCGCCCTATAGCGAAAACCTCTCCAAAAAAAAAAAATTATTGTTTAAAAATTTTATGATATCTTATTTACAGTCGATCACTGCACATCTGTATAGTACATAATATGGTTTTTGAAAGTATGCATGCTTGGGACCAGCAGTTAGCATAATGGCTATGTGGCTAAACTCCCATGTAGTCAACTGTGGTTCAAGTCCTGGACCTGGTAACTTAGACTCAGCCGGGTGTGTGTGCATGCGTGCCCAAGATCCCAAGAGGAGAATGGAGGAGAAGGGATTGTGGCATAGCCATCGCCCCTGGGGGGTGATTTCTCACTTTCTATCTCTCTCTGTCTTTCTGGCGAGTACATGTGCCCTATAGCAAAAACCTCTCCAGAAAAAGAAAGAAAAAAAAAAGAAGAAAGTATACATGCTTTAGTGACAGTCAAACGAAAGATATTACAATATGCATCACTTTTTAAAAATTAATTACTTTTTTATTTACATTTAATCACTGTACATCTTTACAGTGTAAAACATGGATTTCCCAGCATGAATGCAGTGCATATTAGTCAAGCCAAAGACATTACCATATATGTTATTGTCAATAGATAACTTTTCATTTTTGTGTCTAGCAAATCTTTTGTTTGTTTGTTTTTTCATGATACTCTCCCTCCCACTTCTTTTCAAGTATGTAAGAATATGACTCAACTCCTTTTCTTAGGATGTAACACTGGTCTTTCACTTTCTACTATAAAATGCAGAAAAGTGGTGTTTAAAAAAATATTATTTTTAAAAAATTACTTATTTTTTATTTATTATTTTTAAAATAATTACTTAACATTTATTTATTTATTTAGTTAGTTAGTTATTTAAATTTGACCAGAGAGGGACAGAGAGAGAGAAAGGGAGAATGCAAGCTGCCAGGTTCAGGACTTGAACCGTGGTCGGCCATGTGAGATTTCAGCACCCTTAACCACCTGCTGGACCCTTTTATTTATTATTATCTTTTTAAATTTAACCAAAGAGACAGAGAGGGAGAGAGAAAGGAAAAGTGCAAAAGCAAGCCACCAGGTCAGGGATTCAAACTGTGGTCAGTCATGTGGAAGTCCAGCACCTTAACCACTGTGCCACCTTCTGGCCTCAATTATTATTATTATTATTTTTTAATCTTACCAGAGAGAGATGGAGGGAAAGTGAGAAAGTAAACAACCAGGTTTGGGACTCGAACTGTGGTCAACCATGTGGGATTCTGGTGCCTCAACCGCCGTGCCACTGCTGGCCCCAGATATTCAATATATATTAAGTGGGGACATATAACGCCTGTCTTTCATAGTCTGGTTTGCTTTGAAATTGTGCTGGTTTGCTAGAAATTGTGAATAATGCTGCAATACATATAGATGTGCCAGTGTTTTTTCTGTTGAGGTTTTTCTATCCGTCAAGTAGATATAGAAGAGTGGAGTAACTGGGCCATATGGTAGTTCTATATGTAGGCTTCTGAAGAACCCCATATTGTTTTCTACAGTGGTTGTGCTAATATTACACTCCCACCAACAGTATATGAGGATTCTCTTTTCACCACAGTCTCGCCACCACTTATCATTTTTTTTAAACATTAGCCATTCTGACTGGAGTTAAGTGGTATCTCATTGTGGTTTTGATTTGCATTTCCTTTATGATAAGAGATGCTGAGGGTTTTGTCTGATGTTTGGTTTTATATTTGTTTGTTTTGTTGTTTTTTAGGGTTTTCCATAGGGTATGTGTACTTTCTAGAGAGACAGTGAAAGGGAAAGTGAGAAATCACCTCCCAGGGAAGTGCCCATTCCACATTCCCCTCTCCTCCATTCTTCTCCTGGGATTTTGGGCACACACACATGTGTGTTCAGTGTGAATTTCAGGCTGCCAGGTCCAAGAATCAAACTGTAGT